CTTTCTTTCTTTCTTTCTTTTTATAAATGTTGAGAAAAGCAGAAAATATTTGATATGATTTGTATTTTAATGAATCAATAGTCATGTGTTTGTTTTCAATATATTGTATTCATTGCCGTTTACTTTATTAATTATATTTTGCTTAAAAATGGTTGTAAATTACATGAATGAATGATACAGTGATATAAGATATTGATTTTATAATTTTTAAAACAAAAATAGTTTTGATTCAGTTTATATAATTAATTTAATTTGCGAGTTTTCCCACAAAATTGTGGTCACTTTTATTTAATTTTGCTCATATAGTATAAACTTAACAGTAATTGTATACAAAAATAGTTGTTTGAATTGCACTTCAATTGAGAACACATTATTAAGTATTAAAGATATTAAATATTTGCTAATAATTAAAAGGGAAGTTACAATTATTATTTAGACAAATATTTTTGACCACAATTCAGATATGAATGTGGTTTATGGGATTGTTCAACCCCTTCCCCCCTCCCAACGCTCTATGGAATTTAACATAGATTTACAGTTGGCTATACTATGGTTATACTTTAACATGGTGAAGATCTCATAGGTTTAACATGGTTACGCTTTAACATGAGTTTCTATGGGATTACAACTTAAGTCTATAACATAGGGTTAACATTGTTTATGCTAAGGCTTTAGGCGATGCTAATATTATGGGAAATGCTAAGTCTATGGGCAATGTTATCACTATGAGACTAATGCAAAGTCTATGGCTAGTCTATAGGACTCATATTAAATTTGTTGACAATGCTAATCTATTGATCGAGTAATATCCAAATTGTGGTTAAAGTATAGCATCGCTGTGTGAGAGTTGTTTAAATTTGGATACATTTGTTTGTCAGTATAGTTATAACGTGGAAATATTGAAATATTGTAGGGTTAGAGCAAATGATACTTTAATTATTTATAATTATATTTTAGGTAATTTTTACTAAAATAAATTATTTTATGCAATTTGTTAATCTTGTTAAACGCTATAATTATAATAAAACATAATTCTTAATTCTTAATAACTATATAAATAAAATGCATTTTAATATCTTAATGCTTCTTACATTAAGTTTAGATTTATGTTAAACTTTATAAAAACATTGTTATTATAATAGTATTTATATAAATAGCACAAAATGTTCAAACAAACAAAACTTACTTTTAATTTAAAGTTGTTTAAAGTTTGCAACTTTTATCTCGTCCTCTCATCTGTCAATAAATGCTTTTAAATTCTGTTTCAATTCTCGCTTCAAATTCTGTTTCCAATAAATACTTTGATTTCTATAGAAATATTCGACAAAAAACTAAATTTTATGTTAAAACTGAATGTTTCTCCGATTAGTTGCGATGAAAAATTGAATAAATATTTGAGAAAAGTTTGAAACAAAGACTGTGTCTGTCTTGGAGTGAACGCTAGTTATATTGCCTTCAATTGAATCCCAACTAAATTTACTCAATATTCATCCAAAGATGTGCCAAACCATTACATGCGCACCGGTATTGTACACTGTATTTGCTTTCAATATACTGTACACTACATTATATATAGACCGAGAGCTATATTAATATTAAATCCACGATTTCTATATAAGAAACTCCCAAATACTGTCATAAAATAAATGACAAATAAACAAAATTAATAAAAACTTCAAATACAATGCATTCAATGTTGTAAAAATATATACTGTATTACCAGTTATATATTGCCATAACATTAGTGAACACCGATTTATTCAATCCATACATTATTCAACAAACGAACAAACGTTTCATTGAGTCTATAATTACTCTCTTATACATATTAAGTCAATGGTAATTGTTAGCACTGATAAACATGGTAATAAATAAAATGTAACAAAATCATACATAATTCTTATTTCAAATTATTCAATAATATATTTTTATGCCATATTCTATAGATAAGTAAACTATTAAATAAAAATTTTAATTATATATATAATATAAATAATAAACTAAGCTAGGTAAATAGTGCATCCACTTATACCCTGCTTAAATGCTAATATTCTTTTTAGTCATGTGATGCCCTATCATAAAAAAATGTACAGTAATAATATTTTTAAGTATAATTAGTAAATATAGTTATTAAATATGCAAAACAAATAATATTACATAAAATAGTTTCTTTAATAAAAGATTTATTTTTATTTCATATTCAAGACATGTATGTCTCAAATCAAACATTAAATAAATTGACATTTCTTTGCAAATATAACGTGGAATTTAAATAATAAATTCTGCTGTTATTATGTAATGAAGAAATGATAATCTTTTGTAAATTATCTTTTTATGAATACATTTCTCAAATCGTTCACATATTTCAATAAGATTTAAATAAAGATATTATTTAATATCTTATAAATTTATAATAAAATATAATTTACAACAATTGTTAATAACTAAATTGTAAATCTAATTTAAATAATACAGTATATAGAGCTTTAATTATAACTTGAATAAAATATATTCAGTATTTGGCATACAGTATATCAATAACATTTAATTATGATTTTATTTAAATAAAAATAAACATACAAAGTATATATTTTTAAATTAATTTTACTATTCTATTAAAAAATAACTGATATTTTCCACCAATTTTTTGTGACATTTAATGGAAAAAGTATTCAATTTGTTAATGAGTGTCATTAATGAGCTCTGTTTGTGACAGTTGTGCCGCAATCGATGGCTTCAGTTATAGACAAACATTTCAATCAATTATGTTTTTAGAAAATTTCAAATTAATAAGACTATCATTTATTACACAATATTATCTATTGTATGGACCGATACATAAAGAAAAGTCATTTAATAGCTTTCTTTTTTGCCAATTAATAAAAAATGATTTAAGATTAACAGATATACTGTTCGCTACAGACTTTGCAATTGTATTCTTAAGATCTTTAGGTCAATATCAATAGTATACTATTTACACTACATCACAAAAATATTGTAAAATGTTCTAGATATAAACAGTGTGTTTTTGTTGTATAAATTATAATACTGTATATAAATTGTAAAATAGATAATCATTTTTAAAATAACTTATTATGATTCATAATTTATGAACAATACAGTACAAAACAATACAATAATTATCAATATTTCAAAACACCTACAATTAAGTTAAGTTATAACAAGTTAATCATTTAATTAATTACATATAAAAGTTATGTAAAAATAATATAATCAAATTAATTTCAACAAATTGCATGATCAATGATATTATTGTAAACATTGTTTTATACATTAATACTTTAAATGGCATAAAGTTTATTTCAATAACTTATATACAACTGGAAAATGTCTTTTTGGCGATATCTCTGGCAAATGGGATATAAGACAAGGCATACCTAAAGCAATGGAAATATTTGAATTAAATAATCATTGATTAATATAAACATGCATTGAATGCATACCACGTAAAGGCGAGGAACTGAAGAATACAAAAAATGATGGCCAAACCCACTTTCCTCCACCAAAGACCGGCCATCAGTGTTAATATCATAAATAAAAAGACGGCAAGAGTTGCGATAATACGAGTCTTTGCAAACATTTTCTTGATTTGACGAAACGGTCCCATAAGAAACATTGTGCTATCATTTCAATACAATTTTTGCTTTAAAACACAATTTCTTGACATTTTATAAGAGGATTAGTTGACTAAAACAATCCACGCATTTGTTATATAATCTTAATTTACAATTCAACCCATTTTATATACAAGACATGATATATCGGATACACACCTATACTGTTCACTTGATTGCATTCTTTACAAATCATTTAAATATGTAAATTATTTAACTTTTAAAACATTGTTTTCAATTCTGTGGTATAAGATGTTATACATAATTGTTATACATTATATTATTTAAACTAATTTATGCTAACTTTATATTATAGTTGAATGCAGTATACAGTATACTTTGTAACATTAAAGAGGTTGAATTGTATTTGACATAAATTTGAGAAATCAAAGAGAATTATAAGATTGAAATATGAATTCAATTAAAATGCAAACTAAACTACAAAAAAGTGAAAGTAACAAAAACCTGGCCATTGATGTCAAGTTTCCAATGGTATAGAAAAGTGCGAATAGTATTAATCCTTTTGGTAATGCAATGCAAGCGCCACCGATTATAGACAATACAAATCCTAATATAAAACATACGACAAATCCTTTGACTCTTGTTTCCCAACTCATTGATGGGAAGAATGAGTCGTTCTTTAAGAAAAATAGGATAAAAATAATTAATTTTATTAATAATTATATATTTTAATTAAACAATATTTTCAAAATATAATCTGTTATAGTCTTTAAAATTAATTATTTTTAATAAAAATTTAAATATTATCATAAATATATATATTACCGATTCTTCAGCGGATTCTTCACCACTTGCCCCCAGAGTTCGCCTCAATTTATCCATTATTTTAATAGTTATTTAATTATTAATTTGTAAATCAAAAGCCGTTTCTGTTCAATGGTAACCACTTTTTAATTAATAATCTAAAAATTATTCATTGATTTCCACACAATATGTCAATAATAATAACATTTTGTGAGTCAATCATATCGCAGAAAATATTATCAGATTGTCGTCAGAGAAACAACACAAAAGTTACTTAACAATGAGTTTATATCAAAATATTTATTACTTTTTAGTTTTAGTTATTATAATTGCAATATTTATTGAGTACTGCACTGCTATTGAATAACTCCTCTATTCAGTTATAATATGGCAAATGTGTAAACATTTTAGTTATTTTTATAAATGATATTTAGACAATGAATAAGGTGATTATAATATTATTACTGTATATTGTTGTAACAACTACTCATCAACTTCTTTATTATCATATATTGCATAATAAATATCATATAATAAAAGAGTATAACATTTCACCGGATGTTAGACTTTGGAAATGAAATTGTTTGTGAAATATATAAATTATTATTATATTTTTATATATTAGTAAATGATTGGTCATTTAAATTATTATTTATCTTATGTCATGGTTAGTTAGTAAAACTAATTATTCGTTAAATTTAAATATAAATGAATTGACATGAATATATATTAAAGTGGTCTAGTACTTTAGATTGAGATATCCCCTCATAAGATTTTCAAAATTTTTATTTAGAAATTAAAAGTTTTATTTAGACCTCATTACTTGTATTGACATAATTGTCAATAATAAGCATTTAAAATATTATAATTAACAGCTATATCAATGGACAATATAAATATAATGAGAGTTAAACACAACTACCGATTGGTATATAATATAAATTTTCAAAGTAACCAACTTCTATATTAAATGGTAACCAGGTTATACTAAACAAGTTCCCCTAAACAATAATTTTGTAAAAATCAGTTTGAGAAATTTCTCAATAAATTTAAAAAAATATAATTTAAACTGTTATATAGTGTAAATTTACATATATTTATAAAAACTATGTTTACAATATAAATATTTATTAATTTATTTTAAATTTCAATTCATTAAAAATGTAAAACAAAACATTAAATGAGTTTGAATTTATGTGGAACTAATTAATTTCTATACATAACATAACTTTATCATAAGTTATCTAATTTAAAATGATTTAATTTTTATGTTATTGTTTGATTTGCTTTACATTTAATATTACTGTACTTTATATTAAATTTATTATTTATCTGTCCATTAAATTTAATTAAATATATGGCTTAAATTGAATCGAATAATATGTAAAGTATTTAAAAAATAAACACGATTTGTTTGAACACTTTTAAAGTCAGATTTAAAATATTCTGAATTTATATGAATTCATTTATTATTGTTTACATTCAAAGAAGTTTCGTGTGAAAGAGTAAGGAATATATTTGTATAAATTTTAATAAAATCTATTTCTAATAACAATAACAATATTCTAATGAAATTCATTAAATGAACGAATATTAAATAATACTGTATTATAATACATTGGTTTGAAATAATTTATAATTATTTTTATTTGAATGACTCTTAAATTATTTATACAATAAATATTATTTTTCATATTATTATTATTTAATAAATTAATTAAAAATACATTTAATACAAACAATGCACTAAATTAAACAATAAAAGACAATTTGATTAAATCTCTCATTGGGTTTCTAATTGAAAGTGTTATTTGATAACAAAAAACTTTATAAATGCTAATCCTTGGAGTCATTCCTTCACAGCAAACAAATCAATTCAAAGAAGAAATGAATTGAAGTATCCTTTTCTTCGCGTTTCCATTCAATGCCAATAAACCTCATATGAAAAAAGTGTTGAATTTCTTTCAATGGCTAATGAATGTTCAGTTAGCTATGAATTCAACACAAATATTCAGCAAATATTTTATAAGAATTGTTACATAAATGACAAATGCATTGAAGAGACGACACGAAGAGTATTTATTAATCTTATTTTTTCGACAAAACTGATTTTATATCATGTTTAAACTTATAAATAAAGGCAAGAATTAGTATATTATTTTTACTAAGATATTTGTTATAAACTATTGTAATTTAAATTTTATTCAAAGGAAGCAAACGGATTAAATGGTTATTATTGTGTCTATGGATGTGGTGTATAGTATGTGAGGGGTGTCCCGACCCGGAGCTGATCTATCCGTGCAAATGTGCACAAATGGATATAACAGTGATTATGTGCGACGGGAACCAAATGATTGATTTGTCGTCAGTGTTCAGAAAGTTGTCCAATAGTTTGGCGCGACATATGAGAGACTTCGGTATCTTCTACCTGAGCAACACTGCCATCAAAACACTTCCAGCGTTTGTGTTTCACAACATCACGTTTAGGCACATCTACTTCGACGGCGCCAATCAATTGCAATATTTAGATCCGAATGCTTTTATTGGCACTGATTTGCAGATTGAATACGTGAACGCATGGAATACTAATTTGGATTATTATAGGGTTCCCAATGAAAACGATGCGTTCAGTCGTCTCATTAATTTGAAATACTTGGACATTACAAACAATATGCACTGTCCGGACGACCAGTTAATACATCCCTGTTATTGCAAAGTCGATAAACGATCGGTTGGCTCCCATTTCTTGGCTATGAGAGACTCGTATTCAATTTATTGCGATAAAAATAAGCCCTATTTTGTTAAGTAAGTCATTCGCTAATAAAATTTTTATTACAATTGTTTAATAATCTTTGTTTTAAATGCCATTTCGTTGATTACTTTCAGACAAATTTTTCAACGAATCACATCTAACGCTCCGATATGTGGCCAACACTT